ATAACATTATCGGGCTGCGCTGACATCTTTTGTGCATTGTTTTTGAGACCCATATCGGTCACTGCAACAAATACTCACTCCAGTGGGCAGCACAGCCAGGAAGAGCAGTTGGACAAGATGAAGGGTTTCGGAGTGTTTCTTCTTTTTGTGTTGCTTATAGTTGACCATGGGAAGTGTTGGAGAAGAAGAAGAACTCTTGGCGACGTGTCTATGACTGCGAGAAGAGACAGAGCAAATGCTCGAAGGGAAGAATCAAGGAGCACCCGTAAGAAAGCTTGATATGATTTCGTTAGGGTAGCCTTTCAGCAATGCCGAGTTTCAATGAGCCGTTCACAAAAGCTATTGATTAAAAAAGCACCTTTTAGCACCTTTTTACAGTTGAGTAAGATATTTTGAAGCTGTTCAAGGAAGATGCCTGTTTAAACTAAGCGTTGAAATCAAGGATGCAAAGAGTTGAAATCCTTGATGTATGTAGTCTTTCCAATTAATAAGATTCGCTTGCTTAGCACTGATCTAGACCCCGTTTACACTGTCCCGGGACAATTTTGTACCGTTACGGTTCGCCAATGTTTACACTGTCGCGGTTCCAAATTGTTCCGTTTAGCCGTTCCGTTTACACTGTACCGGTACGACCTTAATTGAATGGTAGAACAATGTTTAGAAGAAGCTGTATTTAGCCACAATCAAATCCTCGATTACCTGAAACAGCCATACAAAAGACCTCTTTGTGAATCCGTGAGAATATCGTCTCGGATAGGTGTTTACACTGTCCCGTTCAAAAATGGAACCGTGACGGTACAAAATTCATTCGCTTTCAAAGCAGGGTCAAAAACTGTTCCGGATTGCAGAGCAAAATTGTCTCCGTACCACAGTGCGAGTGTAAACGGAAGGGCGAACCGTGACAGTTTTGTCACGGTTCCAAACTTGCACGGGACAGTGTAAACGGGGTCCTCATCAACACTTCTGCGATGTTAGTTATATAGTATTTACAATATTCTAGAAAGTTCTTAGATGGTATAAACTAGAGGGGCAAGAAACATTCGGTTACAATACTTACACTACAAATAGTATTCGAAAGATATATTGCTCGTTACTAGAATGTTCTAGAGTGTATGTGTCAAGGAAGTTCATTAAATATATGTTCGAGATTGGTCTGAAAGTTATCGGACCAGTCAGAGTGCCACATTTCAATACATGGAAAGTAGGTGTTCACTGGTCAGTATATTACAAGAAGCTAATGCGCAACTTGGTGTTTCATGCCCTTGGCCAACTTATCAATATTTGGCAGAATTGCTGATATTGACAGCGACAAGTTGCCTTCAAGGTGCTGATCAGTCATTCGAGAGATCGCAGTCGACTCTTCGCATATTTCATCTTTGAGAAGACAAAATAAGTGCTTCTAAACATGAAGCACATCTTCTTTGCATTATGTACCAAACATGGATATGAATCATCGTCCCGGAGACTCTTTATAAGGCTGGATGACCTCAGTTTTCTTGTATTTTAGTTTCAACTCACTGGTACCCTGCAGCTCGATCAACTCCATTTGAAGATTTTCAGAGGCAACCTTCAGAGGCACTAGAATTTCCAATCGTTCATCGACAATCATTAAACAATTTTTTACAAACTTAACTAATGCTCAAATCACTAGTGGAAATATTTTGACACATGTATCGATCATTTCCCTCTGGTTCTAATAGTACAAAATGTAAAATCCTCCAAAGATAAAGACGAAATTTTAAAACATGACTATTCATCTTTTAATGGGAGAGATTCTATAAATGATTTAATCGGACTTGATCTGAACTATCTTAACTCTGTCTCTGATATTGATAAGGTTTATGTTCGATTTCTCAATGATGTTACTTTACTTGCCGAGAAGCATGTTCCTATTAGAAAGTGCATTAGAAAGAATCAAAACTTATGGAAAACCTTGGATCAACAAGAGATTGCAAAAAATGATGAAAATTCGCGATCGACTTCTAAGGAAGTTAAAAAAACATAGTTCAGAGAACAATGCAAAACTTTATAAAAAATTTCGAAATCGCGTAGCAAGTGAACTGAAGAAAGTCTTCTAGAAACTATTTGAAAGTCAGTGAGCTTTGCAAAATTTCTTGTTATCCGTAAAGTGGTTTAATTTACTTCAACGAGACACTTTTATAGATGAACATATAGATCGCTGAAAAAAAGGGGGGACCTTCATCTCGATAGTTAACCTACTTTGCAGGCTCCTCCTTAAGAATTCTGCATCAATTTGTCTTTTAAATAATGCTATTGTTATTGTTGCGTTCTTTAGTTGATTTGTTTATAATTTATATAACTAACTAGTATTTTTCGAAATGTGGTAGAATTTGAATGAAATCAAAATAAAATCAAAGAATCAAATCAAATCAGAGTAGTTAAGTTAGCTAACACTCCTGGAAAATTAACGATATCTCCTGGTTTTATCTCAAACGCTTAATAATCTGCTAGAATGCTGCGATGGTCGTGAGTATAAGACATCTGCAGTCGCCATCT